AAGTTTCTATAAAATTATTTTTTACCCTTTCTATTCACGACGAAATTGACGACGTAAGGAGAATTGTGGTTAAATATTTCACTTACGTAAGTGTAGGGTTCCTAATGCTACTTTTTAAAGTACGGGGACCGAGATGTTAATCCTAAGTAACTACGGGGGGTAATCTGTAATTACCCCACTTCATCGTAGTACTCTCTTAATGTGTTAATTAAATCTGAGTAAATATTGAGGTAGCTCAACTTGTTATTCCTATAACCTCCTAAGCATGGCATTGTACTTCCTGCAGATTCAGACTAAGCTTGCTTAACAAATTTTAACCGAGCCATACTGGTGTTGGTCATCCTCTGGACAAGGTTCATTAATGAAAGATGTAGCCGTATTGGTTGTCTCTTATCTAGGCAACATGGATTCAGAACTGGATAACTTGTAGATATTTGCATACAGTCCTGCATACAAATGTTTGCTCTTTGAAACTTATGTTTTCTTGTCACCCGATCATATTTCATGATAGATGGAGAAAAATTCTGCATTTTAGTTATGTTCATGGAGTACATGGAGCTCTGCCTTCATAACTGTTAATAACCTTAGTTTTTGTAAGATACTGCTGTGAATGACCATAACTGAAGTGTTCATGGACTTGGATTATTTTCCCTTTGGGAGGATTGAAGCTTCAGACCTTCCAATTAGTTTTAAAACATGGGTTTCCCAGTCAACTATTAGCACTGTTGAACATGACCAAGAATATTAAAAAAAGTTAATATTCATGCAATTTGAAGATTTCTAAACTGAATGCCAAAGCCAAACATACATGAAAATCATCAGTTTTAGTAGCATAGGGTCATACACAATGTCTTGACATAATTAACAAATTATGACCATTAAAATAGAATGAATATCAGCGTGCATCTATGATTATTTTGACCAATAATAATGGTTCGGATTCTTGAAATAGCCTAGAAAATATTTTAGTTTCGGTTGTTTCTTGCACCATTTGCTTTTATTGATTTAATAAACATGCAAATGGTTGTGAAATAGCAAAATGTTTGATTTCTAGGACTTCTTTGTAAATGCTGTACTTGAGAATCAATGATGCTGATTGACGATTTGGAATCTTCTAGTTTTGACTTTCAGTTGGAAAGATTGAGGTTTGCATCCTCAGTCATTTATTATTTTCAAGTAACTGGAATTACTGAAACATGCCACATTGATGTAACTGTTAAAATACCGTGTGGCTGTGCCCCATATCACAGTGCCCTCCAGTGTTAATGGATTGTCTTAGGTTGTATTTTAAGCCTTCTCTTTCCTGTTCAAATGGTCTATTACAGCTGCAACATTTTCAAGCTGAGGACATTAAAGAAGATTATGATACCGGTAAAGACGGTGTGACCATGGTTACCTTCAGAGTAGAGTATGACAAAATGGAGAGCTTGGAGGATGCAATTAATTCCGCTTGCAGCCGAAAGATTGAATTTTACAAACGCTAGCAGATATTTCAATAATCTTATATACAGAGATAATGTTTTACAGAGCTAATGGAATCATTTACTCAAATGATCACCTGGTTGATTTCATTTCAGAAATTTTGGCATCATCTCTTCGAATTCAATCTGCATCTTTGGCAGGTTCATTAATTATTTCTGCTTATTGTCTTTGGTGGAAATGTCTCACTTGGGGTTAGATAGGTGATAATTGTATATTTTGACTGTCATATATAATCAAATCTTTCTTGCTTGCATTTTCCTTGGTTTTTGCTAGATATTTAAGCGAGCATGTTGATTCTCCAAATTGTCTTTGTATTAGTGATGCATTGTTCGCTCGCGTGCAAGTTTCATCGTTCTAATGAGTGCATGACATATCTTGAATATAAATGTGGCATTATTATCAAAAGCTTAGAATTCTTTGATCACTCTTATCACGGTTAAGAGCAGGCTACTTGTTTGTTCGAGGGAGAAGACTGACGAGGAGCCCGCACGGAACAAACAAAAGTCAGTAACCGGTAGTCAACGCCTCGACCGCGAACATTGCGGCCCGCCTCCAACTTGACGACGAATTATTTTGTGATGGTAACTCCCACTATCTTGGCACCGGCGAAGCGCGGGATGAAGCACGCGCAGGTTTCTCGTGCAATCCCGTCTTGCCACTATACCACGATGCGGGGGCCTTTTACTGGAGATCTAATGTGTCAAACTAATAGTGGAAGGATCGCCCGTGTTGTGTCTCGGCTAAGACAGCTGGTCAACTGCTCTTGGGTTCTAAAGCTCTCAACGCCCAACCGAGATCCGAACAGCGGACATGCTACCTTAGGCTTGCTCGTATATGAGTTTCTATGCGGGAGCCATTCTACACACTCCGATGCACTTGTCCAGCGTATCTCAGCCGTCCATATATGCATCGAGTTGGGTGCGATTTCTTCAACGGATGGGATTAGTACAAAGCACGACAGGGACGGCAGATATGGGATCGCACAGGAAGAATATGCGGACATAGTCGGGTAACACAATGAGACCTTTTAAAACGGTATGTCTTTTGCGCGTCTTGTTTTCTCCGTTGCCGCCGCGATCGGTTCCTCTTTTTGTTCTCCGCCCTTCTTCCCTGAGCTCAGGTGTTGAGATCCTCAAAACGCGAAGGTCCATTAGCGCCGGTTTTCCCCTCCCATGGCTTCCCTTCTCCGTTCTTCCCTCAGCTTCGCCGCCTTTGACGCTTCCTCTGCGGAGGCTTCCTCCCAGTTCTTCTGGAAGCCTTTGGAACCACCAAAGGTGAGAAATTTCTGGCTTTTGTTTCAATATTTTCTTTCTTCGTGTTTTCATTTCTGTTTCTGGTTTTGATTGTTTGTGAGGTTCTCTTCAGATTGGCAATTTGCCTCTGAATTTGGTTCGAACGAGCAATGCGCGCCTGAGAATTCGGGGATCCGTTGAGTAAGCTAGCTAATTTACTTGTTGTTTGAATTCGTATTTTATAGTGGTGATGATCTGTTAGTTCCTTTTTGCAATGTAATTGGATCTGGAATGAACACTTTGATTCAGAAAATTATCTGAGATGTTGATTGGTAGAAAGAAGCAGGTTGGATTTGCTGGTACCTTGGGATAAACATTATGTAATTTTCACTGGACCTCATTCTTGTTTAGACATGGTGGTCAAGAAACACTGGTTCTTACATGTATTTTGTGATGATCTGTTATTTTCTTTTCGTAATGTAATTGGATCTGGAACGGACCTTGATTCAGAACATTCTCTGAGATGTTGATTGGTAGAAAGCATACTTTTGAATTCTTGAAAAATAAAAAATAAAAAAGGAGAGAGTTTTGATTTCTTCGTAAAGAAAAAAAAGGAGATTTTGCCGTTATATATTTGTTGGGAAATTGGCATAATACCATTCAGAAATCAAACTAGGACCGTCACACACACACACACAGATGAACAAATGTGCACATTAGTGGACACACTAAAATTATGATATTAGGCAACATCATGCCTATATCCATGGATTAGATCACCCCATTCTTCATGAAGAGAGAAACAAGGACAAGAATAGAACCCGAGTGTCCAACCAAGACTCCTTGTACACCCAGTCTCACCAAACCAGAAAAATGTTCTTCTCACATCTCATTTTTGGCAACCACCAAAATGGACATGTTGTCTTTTTAGTTTTTCCATGTATGACATAATGTACAACTAACCTTGTCACGTTCCTTATTCACTGGGATCATGATAAATCATATGTAATCCTATCCTTAAAAAATTAAGAATAAAAAAAACAAAGATATTAGTTAAAACACCTCCTTGATGAGTGTCTTGCCAACTTGAAGATTGTTACAATTCCACTTGAAGGTAGATTGCAAACAGAAGCTCTACCTACTTGCTTGATTTGTAAAGAAAATTTATCCGCCTTAATATCCACCAGCTGCACATAACCCAAGTCAGAAAACTATTTCACATTGAATTTCAACACTGCACATTTATATTAACCAACAACATCTGGAATTAGTTAGCTATGTGGGAAATGCATTCTTCATTTCTTTTAGCAGTGAGCAAAATTATGTTTATTGTTCTATTACAATGACATTTTCCCGTTCTTTTTTTTTACTGAACAAAACAGATCTGTACTTTCCTGATAGTTTTAATTTGCTGATGTGAAACATATCCTCTGGATATGAGAATAAAAGGCATCTTATTTACAGGGAAAAACATACTCCAGCAAGAAAAGCTTCAAAAGAGCCTTTCAGATTGACTAGAGAAGAAGAGGGTCAAGTTTTAGATCCATTTCAAGAGTTGGAATATAGATTCAAGAGATTCAAAAGGAAAAATTATGTGTAAGTAGAATTTGGCATTGTCTAAGTTGTTCAGGCTAAGAAGTTGGTTTGTGAGATTAATAATGTTATGCAACAAACAGGGAGAACTTGGTTGATTATCAAAATCTTGCCGAGCGGCAGTCACCCAAGGTAATATGGCAACCAGCATTTTAATTCTAACAATTTTTTTCTCTTCTATTTGAACATTGAACTCTCTTTTCTTCTGCTTTCCATTTATTTTTTGTCATTATTTTTATTTCTCTTTTCCCATTTGATCATATATTAAAATGTTAGCCTTTTTTAGTACTCTTATGTCACAAAATTCTGTTAGACATTTTCCCATACACTTGTTAAAATAATATGTCCATTCTGGGGCTCTTCTGTCAGCTTATAAGTTATTAATCATTACCTTTTTTTTAACATTATTTAACATTTTTAGCACAAATCAATACCTTTTTCACATTATTCAACATTTTACCAACTGATAGTTTCATCAACAGTTCATGGTAATTGCATGTGCGGACTCAAGGGTCTGCCCTTCAAACATCTTGGGATTTCAACCTGGGGAATCATTTACGGTGAGGAATGTGGCAAATCTAGTTCCACCTTTTCAGGTATATAATTTAAATAGCTTTTCATCTCACTAGTTAGTCCACACCAGCTGGAAAAAATTGTCATTGTTTTGCACAATCTCTTAGGGCCATTCTATTCCTCTTGCAGCATGGGGCTTCAGAAACTAGTGCAGCACTTGAGTTTGCCGTAAACTCTCTTGAGGCAAGGAAATTTTATAAATCAGATGTGCCTAATTTGATGCTGCAGGGTACCCATAAACTGCATGTCTTTGATGCGGTTGCTAGTTCTACTTTTTTGAGCCAAACACATTGGTTCTTGTAGGTTGAAAACATCTTAATTGTTGGCCATAGTCGTTGTGGAGGCATTCAGGCCCTAATGAGTATGAAAGACAATGCTGATTCAAGGTAATCATGCATCAGACTTTGACATTGCATTTCTGAGTTTTGTGATCATGCATATCCAATTTACTCTTCTAAATTGATGTGTATATATCCAGAAGCTTTATCAAAGATTGGGTTTCTATTGGAAAGAGTGCAAGATTAAGCACAAAAGCTGCTGCTGGAAATTTGAGCTTCGAAATGCAATGTAGACATTGTGAAAAGGTAAATCATGCTCCACTTTTCACAAGGTGAAACTATTATTGGTTGTTACCATTATAGGTTTCAACCAGTATAGTTATCTCTTGTCAAAGCTACATGTTAGAAATTCTCTTTACCTCATCCACAATCATCCACACTTGGAACTGCCTTGTTCATTCAGCTCTATATAGTTTACTGTCAGACAAAAAAGCATCATTCTGATGTGAGCAAAGAGTGTGATTCTGTTGGCCTCTCTTTTCTTTTACTGGCTTTTTTTTTCTGTATGCACGGGCATGCTTTTCCATTGGAATTCTCTTCGACATGGAACTTGGATTTACAGATGCCGGTAAAACCTAAATTTGGAAACAAATATCAGTTCACTTGTGTATGAAGTGTTTGCACAAATGTTCTTTAATATGTTGTTGCTATTTAGAAAGAAATTAAGATTTTGATCAGACCAGTAATTTTCTTCACCAAAACATAGAGTTTCTTGTTTGTACTCACTAGCTATCATGTATGAATGTTTTTATTTGTAAATACTACACAAAGATACAGCTTCTTGAGCTTGCATGTGTAGTTTAAAGCCGTATAGGATTTCTATTTCAAGCTATGAGTATGTGAGGCACCATATGAGCATAACTGGTGTAAGCAGTCCAAAACTTGTTATTCTACTAATAAGACCGACGAGCATTACCATAAATAAATCTTCAATATTTCATGAACCTTCCTTTTCGTATGATTTCACCAAGATTGGAAAGTTAAGCAAAGTTGATTTATGCAATTTTCGAAAGGATCTTGCTGTCCATATGGACTTATCACTCTCGGAAAAACTTTGTTCCTTTACGATTGAACATGGCAGCCAATTCAGAGCATTCACCAACATTATCTTTTGGGCAATAAGCTACATAAATGAATGCTTGACTAAGCACTCTTGTTCATTGCAGGAATCGATTAACGGCTCGCTGCTGAACTTGCTAACATACCCATGGATCGAGAAAAGAGTGAGTGAAGGGACACTCTCTCTTCACGGAGGCTACTATGACTTCATCGATTGCACCTTCGAGAAATGGACTCTTGTGTATCGAGAAGGATTAGAGGGTGGCAGTAAGTATGCAATCAAAAACCGTGCCTTGTGGTCCTAAAAATCCTTTACTGGTCATCAGGATCGAGCTTACGAGTATGCTGCTATGTCCTCCTCTTTGTTGTACCTCGAGGTAATTATCTCCCTCTCTCTCTCTCTCTCTCTCTCTCTCTCTCTCTTCAGCTGCTGTATTTTTAGCTCATTTCAACTATATGACATTTACGTTGGGTGATTCATCTATATATCTACTGTTTGAGATGATTCATGTGTTTGATACTGGTGAAGTGTTTAGAGTGTTCTCAGATGTTGTCCTGTTTTAATGTGACAATAACATTGGGATTGACAATAACAGAAAAAGAGGAAGAAGCGAACATAAAGCGACAGATTGTACTGTGTTTACGGGAAGCAGGAGGGAGACGTGAAGGACATTTTCGTAATATATGGAAACTATGTCTTGCTAAACCGGGTCGAGGTGCGAGCCCGCTTACTGTAGTTCTCCGCCGGAGCGGTCCGGTTCGTGAGCAGCACCGCCCAGAGCGCCGCCTGCAGCGCTGACCGGCCCTCCCCTCTCTCCGCCGCCTCGCTGACCTCTAACTCCAGTAGGCTCCGCGTCCGCCCGCCTACCGTGACCATCTCCGCCCGGACCGCCCTCGCCCGGACCGAGCGGACCGCCCGGCTCAGTTCCCCCATTAGACCGGGCCGGTCCGCGCAGCACACCCACGCCCGGACCACCCTCCCCCTGCCTCCTCCTCCTCCCCCCTCCTCCTCCTCCTCCTCCACCCCGACCTCGTCCCCCTCCCCGGGCACCATCACCGCCACCTCCTCCACCCTCACCCTCAGCTCCCGCACCTGCCTCACCACCTCCCCCAGCAGCGCCGCCTTATCCAACTGCACCCACGCATTCCATAACCAGCAGTCAAACCGCGACTCCATGAAGCAAGTAGAAGCATGCACGAACGCACACATGCAACTTACCCTGGTGGCCGCGGGGAGCAGGCTCCTGAGGGTGGCGAGGTGGCCGTTGATCCGCTGCCTCCGCCGCCGCTCCGCCTCGCTGTGGCTCCGCACGGCTCGCGTCTCCCCCGCCGTCCTCGTCTCATGCACCATCTCACCGGTCGCAACAGGCTGCATTCCGACACCACGCACCAACTCTCCACCGCTGCTGCTGCTGCGTGGCGGCCAAATCATTAGGGAATAACAGGCATGCAAGGCATTTGAAGAAGGCATTAAAGAGGGGAGAGATGGGGTGCAAACCAAAGGAAAGATTCAGGTGAATCTTCTCCTCGTTGCTCTGACGACCAGTGGGAAGGTGGTGGTGACGCGGACGGCGTTAAATAGAGAGGCTGCGGCGTCCACTGTTGGCTTGCTTGACTCCTTTTTCTTCGCCAGCCACGTAGAAGTAGCGGTGGGGGGAGGCAAAGGAAGAGAGAGGTGACGGCGCGTGACGGCGAAGACGACGGGGATGCGGGGACACTACTTTGCTGGTGTCGGATTGCCGGAGGCGGTGGGAGCAGCAGCCCTGCGGGCCCCGCTAAAGTTAGGGATACCCGGTCGGATAAGTTTTCTGCGTATCGGCCGCTGCAGTGTGTCTCACCATATAATATATTATATATGATAAATATCATGCATATGTCTTTTAGCCTTTTGACCAATCCCGACGAGGCACAGTGGTGGGGCCCAAAAGTCCTCATGCACCTACGAAAGTCTACGCACGGTGATGATTGTGTGTAACGGATAAATAAAGGATTATTATTATTTAAGCCCAAAAAGATCGAAAAAAAAAAGGAAATGGTCAAAGTATTCGATCTCATTAAATTAAATAGGAATGACATTATTGCATGCCCTAATCCGTATGGCAAATGCTTCATGAGATTAATAATATATTGGATGTTTTTGGTAGAAAGTACTTTAAACACATAAAAAAAGAAACTTAAGTGAATATAACTATGAGATATTTGAACTGTCCTGCACTCATATATGACAACACCTCCTTGATATTGAAACATTTCTAGCATACAATTTTGATGCATCCAACTATAAGGTAACATCAAGTGACAATCAAATCGAGTACCCAATAAGATTATTCCCTTACGATATGAAAGATCAAAACTTTGGTCACAAAAAATAGGTTATAGAAGAGTTCATCACCAATATACATACATATATATTTTACGTCATGAATCTTAGCCAACAGTTCAACAGCATGACGGAGAGGGAGATTTAGTGAAGACAAAAGGAAGGACTGATCACCAGAAAACATACTTGATCGCAGCTCCTTTTGAAAGGGTTTGAGCAGTGGATGGAGTATAGGTTGGATGTGCTCAGAAAAGTTGATGGTGCAATAGTCGGAAGGAATTCAAAGTCGAACGCCGATATAGTATTCTCTTGGACCAAACGTAGAGTCCAAGGTGACCATTCGTCCATGACATACCCAGAGAGGGCTTTGAATGCCACTTTTTGTCTCTTCCTGGGGTTACATGCAGCAACAACTTCTGATCCCGGGGACCAACACCAAAGCTGTTCCTCGAATCGATGAGAATGATGAGCCACAGTCGCATCCATGTCCATTTCTTGATCCGTTTTGGTCCTCTGAGTCTTCTCCCCCCCTGCGCTAATGGAGCTGCAGATGATCTGACAGACACTAGTAAGATAAAAGAGTCATGCATACATGTCCATAAAAAGGAAGTTCTCTATCTCTACAGATGCTCGACTGATGTTAAGATGAAAGAAAAAAATAATCATCATTCACTCACTCCATTCCATTCATGCTTGTCCTAATTGCAATTTAATTCCTCATCAGTACAGCACAGAAGAGGGGATGGAAAAATCCTGGCTTGGATCACCAAGGAGCCAGCCAATCAAATGTCAGCAACTGTCAAAACATGGTCTCTGATGATAACCCTATAAATGCAGCTTTTCTGCTTTGCTATGAATTGGTCAGAGAAGCAAGAGAAGGTAAGTTCACTTTGGTTTTGTGGCAAAGCATCTTTAAGAGAAAAAAAAAGAAGATCAGACCTAGAGAGTTGTAATGTTTGAAGCATCAAAGACCTGTGGAATCTTGTAAGAAACTGATATTATATGAAGGAAAGCCTTTCTAGGGATAAAAAGAAGCAAGATGATCCAATGGAATTATATCACTCAGAACTTTACCTTTTTGCTTCCACTTTATCTTCTCAAAGAGTGGATCCATCCTGACTCTTGGAAAACTTGAAGCATCACTTATATATGTTATACTGCAAAAACCACAGAATGCTATTGGAAGAGAAATCAAATCCATATTTGACCAGACTAACATCATAGTCTCCATCTACAAATCAGCATAATACTCATCTTTGGCTGCTTAGGCAACAATAAACATTAAGTAATATCTGTTTCTGCTGCATCTTTTTGTAAGAGAAACCAACTTTTACCAGTAAGACAGATGTAAACTTCATGGTTATGTTAAAAAACATTGTCTCATACCCTCTTACCCTTACAGTAAAATCTATACCTCTTGTGGCCCTCCTAATCATGGCTCTGCTCCAGCTTTGGAGAGCCTAAAAATATTCAGCAAGACAACCTGCATGAGAAAAAAATTTAGGATTTTACTGAGGTTACAGAGCAAGCAAGATGTAGAAGAAAATAATATAAATATCTAATGTAACAATGATCCAGAGTTTTAACTAAATGCACCTATCCAACAGAATAATTTACACATATGTATTCATGGAATCATTGAGCTTTAAGGGTCATCATCTAAACCTTCTGAAGAAAATGCAGATCATCTTTTGCTATTATTTAAACAGAGAGAAATTTAATTCCTATATCGGTGATTAGGAAATTTATACGGTATTCATGTATAAGTCCCCATCGAGCAAATCGAGGAAGAGATTATTTTTATGAAGATGATCTAATACCCATAACAAGAAAATATGATGAATTCCTAAGGTTCAAGAGTATATCAGGTTAGATGTAGGAGCTGCCTCAACATCATCTAAGAGAAAATTGTTCAATTGCAGTATGAGATGACTAATTATGCCAATGCAGAAAAGAAAAGTTGAATGCCTTGCATCTGAGGAATCTGCCTCATGCCAAAAGATATCAGTGAATTTAATGATGAAAAAATATTGAGCCAATAAAATATTTGGTTCCACAGTCACTGTTGACACTCTAAATTTTTATATTTGAACAACTGTCAATTCCTTTAAACACTTGAGCTGATTAATAAGATAGGGATTTTATCAAAATAATGATTTAATATTCTCGGATATGGACTGGCAGGAAGCCAAACACATGGAACCTCAAATAGACAGACATGATAACTAAAACACAGGAAAATCAACCTGAAAATTTAATTGATGAACGGGATTTTACTGATGATGTCCCTGTAAATTCATATTTTATCTGTCAGTGTAAGCACTAAGATGAATTGAAAGTGAATAAAATTTCTTCGATCCAGGATATATTTGCTACGTACATTATATCAAATGTTAGGCGCGAATAACTCGACGCAAAAGATAAGCGATCTGTGGATATCAGTCAAAGTATACTTATATGCATTCCTTTAGCACTTAATTAAGACCATAAGATCCATCGACTATATTTACTTCTACTCTCGATTCACTTAAAGAAAGTTTATGAAATGAATTAGGGTATTCACAAAGTAGTCCACAGTCACTGTTGACACTCTAAATATGGTTCCACAATCACTGTTGACAATAAAATATTTGGTTCCACAGTCACTGTTGACACTAAAGGAATCTGCCTCATTCCTAAAGATATCAGTGAATTTAATGATAAAAAAATATTGAGCCAATAAAATATTTGGTTCCACAGTCACTGTTGACACTAAAGTTTTATATTTGAACAACTGCTAATTCCTTGAAACACTTGAGATGATTAATAAGATAGGGATTTTATCAAAATAATGATTTAAAGATTCTCAGATATGGACTGGCAGGAAGCCAAACACATGGGACCTCAAATAGACAGACATGATAACTAAAACACAGAAGAATCAACCTTAGGGCCTCCATCTCTGTTACCTGAAAATTTAATTGATGAACAGGATTTTACTGATGATGTCCTTTGAATTCATATTTTATCTGTCAGTTAAGGACATTATATCAAATGTTAGGGGCGAATAACTCGACGCAAAAGATAAGCGATCTGTGGATATCAGTCAAAGGATACTTATATGCATTCCTTTAGCACTTAATTAAGACCATAAGATCCATCGACTATATTTACTTCTACCCTCGATTCACTTAAAGAAAGTTTATGAAATGCATTAGGGTGTTCACAAAGTAGTTGACATTCTTTCTGAGAGCTTTCTATCTTCTGGTCCAACAATTTCTGGTCTTATATCATTCTCTCAGACAGAAGACTGCTGTCATTCCTGCTGTATTTTTTTGAATCTGAATTCTGAGACACTCATTCATGTGAGATCATTTTTTTTTTTTTGACAGCAATTCACCTAATTCTGCTGTTAAAAAGAAAATATTTCTCTCATTTTCTAGTTGGCTTGGCAAAATAATAGTAACACTTCACTGTGCTGCTAGTACTTGCTCATTGATGTGGTCTAGAAAAGCCCACATTCCATAGAGAAGATACAGCTCAAAAAAGCGTGACTAGGAAGCAAGCTCGCATAGAAAGAAGCTTCAACAATGTCTCATTGAAGTCAACCATCAATATGATAAAACTTGACTTTCTCACTCCATTCTACATCAGCAATTGATCATCAGAGTATAGATTATGATGCATCAGTATTTCCATCCTCGGTGTACATTCATCCAGACTTTGGACAACTACACTAATAAACATATACAAATACCTTAAAATTCAGTTGAACAAAGAGAAGACAAGCTCCTAAAACAGCACCCACAATTTAATATTGCTAACTGGCGAAATACCAAAAATTTTAATGGCAACTGATGCAACATGATCCAGCAAGTATATAATAAGTCGAAAAAAAATAAATGTAGCAGCAAACTGAAAAACAGATCAATCTCATCCCCTGCATGTTTGCGTAGGTAAAGTAACAAGACAAAACAACAATCTTATTGTTGCTTATAGCTAACATTAACATCCAGAAAAGGAGATTGTTCAATAATCATGAGTGGCAGACAAGCTGAACGCTTTATAGTTAAAACAATTTTGCTTATTCTAACAAAGATATACACTGCAGCAGAGTTAAATCAGCATATTTAATCAGATGCCTCTAATAAGAAAGCAAACAGAGAGTAAAATATATCAAAATGCATATATGCAGAAAGATCTAAAATTTAAATGATGTCCAGCGACATTTTAGACAAGGAATAACACCAATTCAAGTATTAATCTGTTCCTACAACACAGGTTACTAACCAAACTCTGGATTTGATGCTAGATTTATCTGTGAGCATAAAAATCACCATGATGTTATTATTATATAAAAAATTTTAATGTTAAAATTCTGAAATCATATAACAATAGATCAAACTTACGACGTGTACCTTACAATGTCATTCATGAAGCTTTTATCTGTTCTACGGTGCACCGTCATTAGATCCGAAAGATATAGCAATGCTGATTTGTAAGGAGAACTAGACTCGCATTCTTCTCTCTTTCTATCCTTCACATGACCGCTATAAATGATAAATCAAAGATAAAGGGGAGATGAGAGAAAATCTATAATCTCTTAATGATTAATTCATGTGATTAAGAGAAGATGAGAGAAGATTTGTAATATCTTAATAATGTCATGTATCTCCGTCTCCTCTTATATGTATATCCACATATCCATGTATTGTATTTTTAGTCTTTAGTAGGTCTTGTCTATCTATAGGCGAGAGTAGAGAATTTAATATAAGTAATTAGGAGAGTCCCTCCCATCAAGGTTATCTCTTGAGGAATCATACTATAATTGGACTTCTTTTCTATTGCCGATAACAATTCAATTATATTCATAATATGTCTTACCTAATTACACGTATATACAAATTTTATAAAACAGACCAAAAATCCAATAAACATAATATCACATTAAGTTCGACCATCAATACCAGTCATAGTAATTGCATGTCATCAATGTCATACTTCCTTCTATGTACTATAACACTATTGACTCTTCCTAATATAGTCTAAAATAACTCATGTAATTTATCTTATCAAAATAATCCTATTAGCACATTTAACCATAATATGTACATATATAAATATGAATATGATAATAGAAACAAATAACTTTAGTTACGTAAATAAGAATATCAATTATAATGTCCACTCATGTATCATCATATCTTTTATGGGTTGCTCACAAACCCAATTACAAGAACATATTCTTTCAAACACTTTAGATTGTAAGTCCTAAGTGAACGAATCAACAATCAATATAATAGAACTCAAGTCTTTAATTGACATTAATTATTTTTTAACTCTTTGTCTTTAACTATCAAGTACTTTATACTATAATGCATAGAGCTACAATAATACTTACAATTCTTAGAAAAAAAACTACTATGATATATCATAAAGTATCCTTAGCGACTTAATAATTAAGTCTAACCATACCAAGTCTTGAGATAAAATTTTACAATTATAAAGCTTGATTAGTTGTCTCAAAGCATACCATAAAATTAGCTTCTTTTATTAATAATATAATAATATATTATTTTATAATTTTCTCTATAAATTATCTCTTGATTTGATATATATATATATATATATATATATATATATATATATATATATATATATATATATAT